AAGGTTGGAGGTTCAAATCCACCAGCCGTTCCTTAGAAACCTTAAGGTCGCTGAGTTAGAGCTGACTCGACAGCACATAACAACAACTTATTTTAAAAAGTCTGTTGGTAAAAATATGAATTTTAAAAGTACTTTGGTGAGGCCTAAAGAAAATGAGGAATGTGTTAACGGAAACTTCAGAAAAGCAATCTTTGTTAAATGTCAGAAAACTTGAATGAATTGTGTGCTATTTGCAAAGAAAGCTATAATTACTGGTTTCTTCTTGCTGCTTATACAAAATGTAAGAGCTAAGAGATAAAGAAGGAACTATTAAAAGAAACCAGAACTTGGTGATGGGAAATTCTCAACCTATGCAGATAGTAAAATATAGTAAAATTAGATGATAATAAAGTTAGGATAGCATGCTCTGGGGGAAGGCCAAGAGTGTTTCTGGACAATCTTCTGCTAGTGTTGAAGAGATCGAATGTGTGTCTGATGGACTCATTCAATAAGCAGAATGCAGAGTAAAGATGCCATGATCCAGGAAAGGTCTGTGGAGAACCATCTTGTCTGATGATGTGAATCTGTGACTTACATGTTCTTGTTAAGTGCTGTGAGTCAGTCCGACATATAGCAACCCTGTAGAGGGTTTTCAAGGAGCAGTTGGTGGGTTTGAGCTGCCAACTTTATGGATGGCAGACCAGTGCTTATCCTAAATCACCACACCAGGACTCCATGACATATATAGGAGATTTGAATGATTTTGAGAATGCTACACCATCAGCAAAGGAGCCCTGGTTGTGCTGTCGGATAAGCACTGGACTGCTAACTGCAGGGTCAACAGCTCAAACCCACCAGCTGCTCCATAGAAGAAATGAGGCTTTTTGCTCCCATAAAGATTTATAGTCTCAGAAATCCTAGATAGGGTCCCTATGTGTTGGAATCAATTTGATGGCAGTGGGTTATACTATCAGGAACAATACCAGCTTGAACTAAAAGGAAAAGAGATAAGAAGAAGTTTGTCAGACTCCCAAGATGCTATTGGCAAGAAACAGGCTTATTATCTTGAAGGAAAGATCCCAAGTCACAGGCAATGAGGCAGAAGTTGGGGGAAACAGGCCCAGAAATCAAAGCTATGTGCGTACAGAGTGGGATCCTCAAGTCACAGAAGACTATTCTCAGGTCTACTAGTGAAAATTTCCCTGCTGGACTCAAAATTCCTTAGGACTGGTGATCCTTTTATTACTTCCATTTTATCCTTTTTGAAATGAAAATGACCGATTACTGTTATCGTATGCTGGCCCTACCATTGCATCTTGGGAGTAGATACGTTGTTTTCAAGTTTCATAACTCCACAAATAGAGAGGAATTTTGCCCCAAGATGTCTCATACCCAGAGTTTCATCTCTCCCTGATTTAGAATTTGAGATTTGGGACTTTTAAATAGATGGTATGTTGGGACTTGGAACTGATGTCGTAATAGGTTGAGACTTTTGAGGATGTTAGGATGGGGTGAGTGTATTTTGCACATGGGAAGGAGGTAAATTTTGGAGGCGAGAGGGCTGACTGTGGCCCCCCAAAAGATATGTTCACATTCTAATCCCCAGAACCTGTGAATATTACCTACCTTATTTGGTAAAACGGTCTTTATATATGTCATTCAGTTGAGTTTATATATAATCTTTATATATGTCATACTGAGTTGAGGAAATCATCCTGGATTATATATAGGTGGGTGGTAATTACAGTGATGTGTCTTTATTAGATACAGGCAAAAGAAGTTGTGAGACAGAAGAGGGAGATGCTTCAAAAATGGTGTGGAGTGTCTGACCTCCACCAGCTTCACAAGAGGGAAGGAAGAGAATCACCAGCCCAAGGACAGGTCCTATGAGGCAGAGGTCAGTCAGACATGCCTCTGCTCTATAATCTTTCTTACCCTATTCTGACACCAAAATCCCTCATACAGCTCTCTACTGCTCTGTTGCATTCAATTATCTATTGCAATGGCCACACAGAACTCACAGACAATACTCACGTTTATGGGGTTTATTAGGGAAGTGAACAGGGTACAATTCAGGATCAGAAATAACTCAGGATACAGCAGTTTTCCAGTCAGCAAGGCTCTGCTGCCCTTGCCTCTGCCACTACTGGGCGCTTTCATTGCACCACCACTGTTCTGTGCAGGGATCTCAGCATCCAAAGGATGCACTCTACTTGTGGATCTTCTTTCTTGATGGTGGTGAGATTCCCCCTTCCTGCTTCTGAGATGGATCATTTTAAACCCAACAGAATGGCAAAACCAACCAATTCCCAAGTTAGTCCTTATTTGCTTGTTACAGCCTATTTGCATGGTTCTACCCAGTAGCGTAGTGGTTACGAATCGGGCTGCGAACCTTAAGGTCAGCAGTTCGAAACTACCAGCCGCTCTGCGGGAGAAAGATGAGGCTTTCTACTCCCGTAAAGATTTACACCCTTGGAAACCCTGTACAGGGTCGCTATGGGTCGGAACCGACTCGACGGCACTTAACAACAACAACAACAACAACACCCAGTCATTTGGTGGAGTTAGGCAGACTATGGATAAAAGAGTCATCAAGTAAAATGCACCACAGATACAGAGAAGAAAAGATGATGTTAAGATGGAGGCAGACAGTAGAGTGATCTGCCCTCAAATCAAGGAGTACAACAACCTCCAGAAGCTGGAAGAGGCAAGGGACACATTCTCCCTCCCTGAGAGCCTCTGGAAGGAGCACAACTCTGCCAACATCTTGATTTGGGACTTCAGGCTCTAGAACTGTGTGACAACGTATTTCTGTTGTTTTAAGCCACCCAGTTTGTGGTAGGCACCCACAGGAAATACACAGATCATCATTTTTAAAAGTAACTGTGATAGCCAGCAGTTATAGCAAACCTGAATGTCTGCCAGGCTCTTCCTTCATGTGTGTTATCAGTTTGTTGCATGTCATTGCGTCAGGTTGCTAGAGAGAGAAAATCAAGGTTACTTTACATTGATGTTTACTACTGACATTTAACATTGCTTAAAATGAAACCATGGGGCCTTGGTGGTACAACAGTTAAGTGCTTGGCTGCTAACCAAAAGTTTGGCAGTTCAACCCAGCCCAGCAGCTCTGCAGGAGAAAAACGTGGCATCTGCTTTGATAAAAATAGTGGCTATGTGGGGCAGTTCTAGTCTATCACATGGTATCACTATCGGAATTGGCTTGATAACACCCAAAAATAACAACAACAAAATGAAAACCAATCTTGTGTGGTATACTCAATGATATATCTATGGTGAAAATCATTATCATATTTGTCTGTAGATGTAAAAAAAGTGTATCTGTATCATTAAGGTTGCTGGCTCATATTAATTTATGTAATGTGTTTCAAATCCCAATGACATTTTCATATCTGTATACATGTCAGCTCTGACTTCTGGCAACCCATGTAAAGCAGAATAAACTGTGTGGTCTTGTACCATCTTTAGGATCATTGGCCACTGCTGGGGCCTCTGTATATTCTGAGTGCCTTCTAGCACGATATTGAGCAATTCTATTGTGATCCACAGTGCTTTTATTGGCTAATCTTCAGATGTAGATTTCCAGTCCTTTCTTCCTATTCTGTCTTAGTCTGGAAGCTCCACCAAAACTTGAGTACCATAGGTGATCCAGCAGGTATCTGAAATACCTTCTGGTGGCATAGTTTCCAGCATCACAGCAATACACAAGCCACCACAGTATGGCAAACTGACGAGGAATGGTGGTTTACACAATAATAATCCAGCAAATTATAAGAGTTACAAATTAGGTTTTATATAAAGAGTTACAAGTTGGGTGTGGGTCATACAGCTGGCAAATACTTAGCAATGTAAGAATGCTCAGCTGGCTGAATCCTCTGACATTTTAGGACCTTAAGGATCCAGTGGGGTCAGATCATTTTATAGGAAATGTGAGAAGGCCACCTCCTGAAGGTTATGTACTTGGATATCCATGGCACTTCCAGCTTCTCTTCACTGTTCATCTCATTATGGCTCAGAGAGCTTCCTGAATATGAAATTCCTCCCAAAAAAGGTATCCTTAGGAGCAGCCTCAATTCTAGGCAAGCTGAGAATGCAAATGAAGACTGCTACACGAATGCGTAATATTCTAATAATTTAGAAAATACAATCTACCTGAAACTCAGATGTAGTACAGTAAACTTGTTTAAAGAAATTTCAAGCTGTAACAGAGTAAAGTCCAATTACAGTACCTGAATATCTGTTGTGAGACATTTCTTCTTTTCTCTTTTTCTTTTCATGCCTGAAATGTTAGGTGCCATGGACTCAAAACCTGAAAATATAAGTTATTTAAAAACTATAATCTCTAAAGAAAAAGATAAAGTTTGATATTTTAAATATTGAAAAGATAGTTAAAACTTAGAATAATGTTTGCAACACATAATGATGTTGTAGTTGTTAAGTGCCATGGAGTCAGTTCCGACTCATAGGAATCTTGTATAAGGTTTCTAAGGAGCAGCTGATGGATTTGAACTGCCGATCTTGTGGTTCAGAGTCCAGTGCTGATCCTACACTGCCACACTAGGAGCCCAACACATACGACAGAAAGGTTCATTTTTGAAAAAAAAAAAAAATTCCAACAAGACTGTGGACTAGGCAGACACACTACGCAGACCCTGTACAACAAAGATATAAGATACCAAATGAAACAGACACAGATGAAAATTCTGGAAGCCTGAACTTCAGAGGACAGATTAGAAAAGTGGACTGAGTGCTTGCTGGCAGGAGAAGCTGAATAGGGACAGCAAGAGAGGAAGACTGACTGGTGAACAGCTGTCCAGACGAAGTGTGACCATCTTGTCAGTAGCTTTGGCAACAGAAGATGGCCTGGCAGAGCCGACTCACACAGGTGACAGGAAAGGTGCGATTCCTTCTTTTTTCCCCATGTCCCCCTGGTGACCAGAACATGTGTGGCTCCCACCCTCATCCACACCTGGCACAGACACCACTCCCCAGGAGTTTGGAGCCACATGGCTGGGAACCACACCAGTGTGAAGTAGGGGGGCTGAGTGTGCCACTTTGGTGCCTGGATTCAGGAGGGCTTGGCTCCAGACCTACAAAACCTGAAGAGTCACCAGACCAGCATTTAACCAGTCACCCTGCTCCAAGCTGCCCTGTGGTCCTAATGGTCAATGGAACCAGCTTCATCAAGGGCCCCCAAGAACTACTGGATTGAGTGCCCTGACTGTGGATAATACCAAGGCCTACAGGAACTCCACCTAGGGCCAGGAACTCCACTATCACATCCTTCCTACACCTACCTCGTGAGCTACTTGGCTTGCAGGAGTCCACCAGAGTTTTTTTCTCTGTGTCAAACAGCTGCACTGTTTGTAGTTTTTGGTTTGGGTTTTTCCTTTTGTTGTTTCGTTGTTTTTGTTTGCTTAGTCTTGTTCCTCCTCTTTCTACTCTGTTGAATTTGATCCTTTCCATCTCAACTTTCAACTTTTATTTTTTCTTCTCTTCTTCTGTTTCTCATATCCCCTCCTTCCCTCCCCCCTTGATCTTTCTTTACTATTCTCTACTTTCTCTTTTCATCCTTCCTTTTTATGGTTTTTCTAAGTATTTTTAAAAATTATTCTTTCTTTCCTTATTTTCCTGTCCCTCTTTTCTCTTTTTAGTTTAGGTTTTTTGTTTTTTTAATTTTATTCCTTTTATTTTCTCTTCTATGGTTCCATTTCCCTGCCCCTCTTTTATCTTTATAGTTATTTTATTCTGGCTGCTGCCTGTTTTCATTACATTTTTCTCTTTGTTATTTTCTCTTTCCATTGGTTGATTCCTTTTCTATTCTGTTTTGCTTTCTTATGTGATGGGGGAGGGGTTTTCTTTTTCCTATTTGACAGAAGACAGCAACTGTATCCATACAGTCCAGCCACAACTGTACCTTTTACAGCTCCATCCACTGGGCAAGAACCAATACCAACTCCTATGCCAGCTGATGAACAATTAATAGCAACCAACATCAGCCAAACCACCTTAAAATGAGGTGTACAAATGGCGAACAAGAATGGTATATACACTTCCATCCTCTAATTAGACACAGAGGAGGACAGGTGGTGAGAGCCTAAGAACACATTAACATACAACCATCAATTAAATACAATTATGACAACACCACTGTGCCCTGGACACAAGAGACAATTTTGGCTCACATAAAGAAACGAGAGAATGGCTTAAATAAATGACCAAAATACAGAGCCAAAAAAACATTTCTGAGGAAGAAAAGGTAATGGAATTAACTGAAAAAAATTAAAAAGAATGACGTTTATGTACCCTTAAAGAATTGACAAAAAGATCAAGGAAAGCAAGAACACAGAAAAATTTTGAAGAATTCAGGAAAGCACTACAAGAACAAACAGACAAAATCAATGCAAATTTTGAAATCATCAAAACTTGTATAACATATCCAGAAAATTAATACTAAGTTTCAGAAATGGACAATATACTGAAAGGGTAAAGGAGTAGATTAGAAGTAATATGAAACTTGAATTAGTAAGCTTGAAGATAAATCTCTTAATGCTAGCATGCAAAAAGAATAATCAGGAAAAATAATGAAAAAATCTTAAGAGAGCCTAGGAGTTACGTGGGACACCATGAAGAGGAACAACATATGAGTAATCAGAATTCCAGAACAGGAAGAGACAATAAAAAGGACAGAGAAAATTGCTGACGAATTGTTGGAAGAAAACTTCACTAACATCATGAAATATAAAAAGATAAGCACACAAAAAGCTGAACGAATCCCAAACAAGATAGATGCCAAATGAAAATCACCAAGACATATGATAATCAAATTTTCCAAAACCAAAGTCAAGGAAAGAATCCTGAGAGCAGCTTGGGAAAATGGAGATCCAATAAGGTTGAGTTCTAATTTCTTAGGAACAATCTTGCCTTAGGCCGGCAAGAAGGATGACATATACAAAACTGAAGGAAAAAAATTGCCAACCAGGAATCATATACCCAGCAAAGCTGTTCCTCAAATACAACAATGAAACTAGAACTTTTCCTAAAGTTTCCTAAAATTAAAGGAATTTCTAATGATCTGACCAACTTTACAAAAAATGCTAACAGGTATTCTTTGGACTGAGAACCAACAACAGCAGACAACAATCTGAGATTAATATACATGAGAACACCACCCAGAGCTCAATCCAGATGTAGAAGTATGTAAAGTAAACAAATCTATAAGGCTGAAAATAGGGAACCAGAGATATCAATTTATATTGAAATTAACTACAAAGCAAAAAGGGAACCGTATAGAAATTCCAAATGACAAGAAAGTCAAGTAGGTATCAAGATAAAACAGACTTTTAAATAGGGGAAAAATTAATAAATTACAGGGTAACCTCAGAGAAAATTAAGACACATGCACATCTAAATAAAATAAAGAAACATTAGAAAGATTTAGTGAACATCAACACAACAAAACTGAAAATGAAAAGAAAACCCATAAACAAAATGAATCCAGTGCAGAAAATTTTGTGGAACAAAGAAACCAGCAACACCACAAAAAAACACACAACAAAGTGACAGCAATCAATTCATAATGATCAATAATTACACTGGATATAAAAGGATTAAATGTACCAGTCAAGAGACAGAGAGTAGCAGAATGGATAAGGAAACAGGATTCTTCAATATGCTGTCTACAAGAGACATAAAAAAGACAAAAAGATGGAGACAGCCTAAATGCCCATCAATTGAAGAATGAATCTTGGAACATACACACAAAGGAATGCTACAACACATTTAATAATAAAGATGAATCTGCAAAACACCCACAACACGGATGAACCTAAAAGACATTATGCTGAGTGAAATTAGTCAATCACAAAAGCACAAATATTGTATGAAACCAATGAGCTAAGAAACGTTTTTTTCTTAATAAAAGAAACAGTTTATGATGGTTGCGAGGAAAGGGAAGGAAAATTATTCACAGGCTAGAGTGTTGACATGTTAATATGGGTGAAAGAGCAGGCACTATACAAGAGGGAGGTTAGCAGCAGAAAGATGAAGGTAAAGTTGAAGGAAACACAGGGAGGAAGGCAATAATTAAAGTGAACAGAGTTGTTGTGTTGTTAAGTGCCGTTGAGTTGGTTCTGACGCATAGCAACCCTGTATAGGGTTTCTAAGGAACAGCGGGTGTGCTTCAACTGCTGACCTTGTAATTCAAACTGACTTTGCAGTCTAGCACATTAACCCACAGCACCACACCAAGAGGTAGATACACACAGTGGTAGATACTGTTAACTGCTAGTACATGGAAAAATTATAATCATTGTAATGAAGCAAAGTGTACGATTTGTTGAATGCAAACCTGAAGATTTCTGTAAACTTCCATTCAATTCACAATAGAAAAAAAAAAAAAAAACAGTTCATCTTAAAAGTATGTATCAGTAAGAAAAAGACAAGTAATTGAGTTGAAAAACGGGCAAAGGACATGAACAAATCACATCATAGGAAAAGCAAATATAATTAATTGGTCAGAAAATATGGTATTCAATTTTAGAATTAAAAGTATGCATATTAAAACAGAAAATGTCACCATTGTTGAAAAAGATAATCTTTATAACATTTGCAAGGATCTGAGCAATTGTGTATTGCTGGTGCAGCCTCTTTGGGAAATACTTAGCCAATAGCTATAAAAGTTTTCATGCTTATACTTATTGATTCAGCAGTAATACATTAGTAGAATTTTCCCTAGTAATATATATATTGTTGTTGTTGTTAAATGCCGTTGAGTCGACTCCGACCCATAGTGACCCTGTATAGGGTTTCCAAGGAGCAGCTGATGAGTTTAATCCACCACCGTTGCAGTTCAAATGGTTTGCAGTCTGGCACATTAACCCATAGCGCCACACCAGGGCTCCATATATAAATATATATATATTTAAGGTTTTTATTGTGGATTGAGTAGAAGTTTACAGGACAGAGGCAGATCATCAGTTTTACATTCAACAAATTATACACCTTGTTTGTTGCAATAATTATAATGTGCTCCATGTATCATCAGTTAAACAGTATTTTTCTCTGTTCACTTTAGCTCTTTTTTTTTTCTAAACACTCAGGCATATATAATCATTTACACCATCAAAGGGCACATTCTGTAAGTCTGCCTCCTGGTCACCATCTCTTAGTCCCTCTCTTCCCATGAATCTAGAGTCCTCAGCTGCTACCCCTCTCCATGTCTCCATTTCTGCCTCCATCTCTGGTGTAACCGCTTCTCTGGAAGGTCCCACATTCTGCTCGTTCTCTTCTCCTTTAATAATCTTAGGGTCTTTTGTTTCTGGACTGTAAGATTAACTATTCCCCTGTTTTTGTTACAAAACTCCTACCTTTATAATTCTGACAGTAGCAATTAGTCATGCTAACAATTACTCACTATTGAATTGTAAGAATTTTATCTCCATCTCTTTTAACCAGACCCATGTAGACAAGATGAAAAGTATTCAGTGGGGAATGTTTTTTCCCCACACACTATTAAACTAAACTCCCCCTTGAAACCTTGTAAGCCAGTCACTTAGTGCCTTTATTGCCCCCTCGTTTTAGGTAGCCACCAGCATAGTGGTTACGAATCAGGCTGTGAACCGCAAGGTCAGCCGTTCGAAACTACCATCTGTTCCATAGGAGAAAGATGAGGCGTTCTGCTCCTGTAAAGATTTATAGCCTCGGAAACCCTGTACAAGGTCACTATGAGTTGGAACTGACTCCACGGCACATAACCACCACCACCACCACCAATAATATATTTTTATACAGACACAAATATGAATGGAGAATAGTGTTATGTACAGAACTGAATGTAAGAGAAACAAAGAACTAATCTAAATATACAGTATGCAGCCTTTAAAAAATGAGGATGATCTACTGGTACCAATGCAGAAGGATTTCTAAGATAGAGCAAGTGAAAAAGCAAAGTCCTTTAGTAGGTGGTGGTGTGCCGTCAAGTTGGTTTTGACTCATAGTGTGTCTGTATAGGGTTTCTGAGGCTGTAAATCTTTATAGAAGCAGAAAGCCTCATTTTTCTCTCACAGAGCAGCTGGTGGATTCGAGCTGCTGACCTAGAGGTTAGCAGCTCATCATGTAACCCACTATGCTACCCTTTGTATACAATAGGCTTCTTTGTATATAATAGGAACATTTTTGAAGAATTCAAAAGAAACTGAACAGTGATTTCCTGTTGGGGTAGCATTCATTATAAATTGTGTTATGATCTACTTTTTAAATTAATTCACTACTGTCATCTTTCCATAAATACTAATAAACATCAATATATTTATAGCATTTTCTGATAAATTAAAAGGCTAATTATTAAACTGATGAATGAGAATAGAGATATTATTTCGAGAGTATTGTTTATCACTAAAAATGAGGTTGGCATAACACAGAACTAAGTCTTTTCTGAAGTCTTGGGTGGTACAAATGGTTAAAACTCTCAGATGCTAACCAAAAAGTCTACTCAGAGGCGCCACTAAAGAAAGGCCTAGCAATCTACTTCTGAAAAACTAGCCATTGAAAACGCTATGAAACAAACAGTCAAGCTGCCAGGAGTCATAATCAACGTTTCTAATGAGGTCCTGATTTCAGTTCACAGTGAGCATCTCAGATTCACAGGCCTAGGATGAATGAATATGCTAGCCATCACTTCAGTTAGCCACCATCCATTCTTAGGAAAATTCCATTCAAAGAACCTGTAGCACTTTATCAACTTTATTAAACACTCTGTTCTTTTACAACAGTTGGTGTCACAAACATCAAAGCTTTTTGTACCATGTCTTAATTTGTTCCTATGCTTGCAGTGAAGGAGTCCTGGTGTAGCACTGTGGGATAACACACTGAACTGCAAGGTTGATTTGAACCATGAGTTTGGTGGTTCAAATTCACCAGCCGCTCCTTGGAAACCTTAAAAAAGAGTCACTATGAGTCAGAACTAACTGAGTCAACGGCACTTAATAAGAACAACAATAGTTGCAGTGACAACAGAAGAGAGTGGCTTTACTGAAAATAGGGTCTAGTTCACGAAATGCAGCAAACAGTCAGTGATATCACATGCCAAACAAAGAAACTATCAACTGAATTTTAAAAGTACATAAAATGGTATCTAGGGGAGGGAGTACAGTGGCTCTGTAGAACAAGCACTGAACTGCGAACCACAAGGTTGGCAGTTTGAGCCCACCAGCTGCTCCATGGGAGAAAAATAAGTCTTTCTGCTCTTGCAAAGATTTACAGCCTTAGAAACCTACGTTATAAGTGCCGTCGAGTCAGTTCTGACTCATAGCAACCCTGTATAGGGTTTCTGAGGAACAGTTAGTGGGCTTGAACTGCCAATCTTGTAGCTCAAACTGACCTTGTGATCCAGCGTATTATCCTGGATGGAGTGCCACACCAGGACTCCTGGAAACCCTATACAGGGTTGCTATGAGTTGGAACCAACTTAGCATCACTTAACAACAATAGTATCTAAAATTGGTCTTTTTAATTCAGTGAGGCTTAAAAATCAGACTACCCCATGTGTTACTTAAATGCTTACTATACTAAATTTTGTAAACTTACCATTTTCAGTGATGACCGGTAATTTAGGAGCATGTTCTTTACAGAACACTCTGAAAATAGACAATTTCAAAGAATTAAAATATTTTTATTTTTAACTTTCAAATTCTAATTATGTTTTCTTATGCTTTAAAAAAGGAACTAACATATTTTTCAAATGGCCTCACCCTACATCCTTTTTGTTAAAAAAAAAAAAAAATGCTATTCAAACCTGTGTAAAACTCTTGACCCATAGCCAGTGCAGTGGAGATTTTAATAGATTTCTACCATGCCTTCTGATCATTAGAAAGATCATTATGTTCTCTGGGCAGGTTGAGTGCTGATAAACTATTCTGAACAATACTAGAGCTCGTATCTAGAGTCATGGGGTAGCACTGTAGGATAAATACTGGACTGCCAACAACAAAGTTGGCAGTTCACACCCACTAGCCGCTCCTCAGAAACCCAATACAGGATCGCTAGGAGTCGGCACCGACTCAACTGCACTTAACAACAACTCATATCTACTGGTCAGTGGGATTTTATTGTACAAAGATACCTGAAAATCCAGCATCTTCTGAGACATACAGATTTCCATTTGAATACTAGTATTCAAAATTCTGTTGACTATTATGAGGCCTAAATAAGTTAACATTTGCAAAGTACCGAGAACCATGCCTGGCATAAAGTAAGTTGTTGTTGTTGTTATGTGCTGTGGAGTCAGTTCCGACTCATAGCGACCCTGTACAGGGTTTCCAAGGCTGTAAATCTTCACAGGAGCAGAAAGCCTCATCTTTCTCCTGTGGAACAGCTGGTAGTTTCAAACTGCTGACCCTTAGGTAAGTGGCATTAGGAAAATAAATAATATAGTGTCTGGAACAATTTCCTAACACTGGAGTATATGAAAATATAGCCACCACCTGTCTGTCAGTGGTTGCTATGATGCCAAACAGGTTTCAGCAAAGCTCTAAGAAAGAATAGGAAAAAGGCCCGCTGACTTGCGGGGTATACCCTTTGTCTGTTTGATGATGCATGCAGGGAACTGTAATCATTGCAATGAAACGAAATAAGATAGGATGAGTGTAAAGCTAATGTTTCTCCCATGGAAACTATCACATAATTCACAATAAAAACTTAAAAAAAAGAAGCCTGGTGATCTAATTCTAAAAAAAATCAGCCAATGAAAACCCTGTGGATCACAATGGTCTGATCCCTAACTGATCCTACGAAAGGTGCAGAATGGGGCAGTGTTTCATTCTGTTGTGAATAATGTGGCTATGAATTGGGGACAGACTCAATGACAGCTAACACCAAAATTCCTTGTTAACACAAAGCCAAATGTTGGTCAGTTTGTCTGTGTTGTGATGTTCTCAACATCCGCAGAACAGGAAAGAAACAAAAACATGAACAGAAAAAAAAAAAAAAGGAGAAGTATGTGCCTAGCCTCTAAATGGAATTTTTAAAAAATCATTTAAGAATTTAACAAATCTTACAACAATCAAATAATTTGAAATAGCTCTCATAACATTTAATCCTATTATTCAGAATATTGTGATTCAAAAGGAAGTATATTTCACTGAAATTTACAATATTCAATCACACTATACACATGCACCAGAAAAGTGAGAAGTATCTGCTTGGCTCTTCAACTTTGGTGTTGTTAAGGGCCATTGAGTCCTTGCAGTCCAATGCATTATCTTACAGTACCATAACAGGACTCCAAGAACTAACTTTGCCAGGAGTGGGATAGGAAACCACATGTCCATCTGGAGACCAGAAGTCCCAACAACTGGGAGCAAAAGCTTGAGTCTGGTGCCTTAGACCACTTGGTCTGACACAGTCTTCAATTTTAATTTAATTTTATAAGGTGTAAGAAGATCAAAACTGTTTTCCTTAAATTCTGTGTGACACTTTGTAGACTTTATCCATACCAAAAATATTAACCAACTGAATATGACCAAAATATCAATCCTGTTAACAACTGGCTTACTGATTCCTTCTAGTTCATCTGCACAATAATTTAAAGAGATAAAATTGTTCATCATAAGGAAAACTGAGGTTCTCCCTGGATAAACAAGTACAATTCTATTAAACTCAAACTATGTCTTGTTGTTAAGTGCCATCCAGTTGGTTTTGACTCATATTGGCCCTGTACAGGGTTTCCAAGGAGTGTCCGGTGGTTTTGAAACACCAACCTTGGGGTTAGCAGTGCTTATCCTACAGCGCCACACCATGCCTTACCAGGTCAAAATTAACACAAAAGTATTATTGAAAGAAATGAAGAAACATTAGAAAGCCAACAGCAATACACATAAGATAGATTTCTTCAAGGACTTAAAAGATTAATTATTGTCTTTGCTGCATAGTCTCTATCATTTTTGCAGCTATCTATAGTGGTATAAATGATTATTTATTCTGTAGACTAGATTAAAGATTAACAGTATAAGGATTCTTTCCTGTTTGCAGGAAAGAACAAGTTTGAAGCGAGTCCCTGTCTTGCACACTCTTTGGATCACTGATGTCACATTGACAAGAGACTATATAGAGTATTTTCTTCCTATGCTATTTAGGAGAGATGCTGTACAATCAGGCTTCCAACTGGCATCTCCCAAGCCATGTTGTTATTTGAAAACCATTTGTGTAAAATTAGCTTTCGAAGTCTTGTCTTGTTCTAACCATTCCTTAGCCCAGCTCCCCAAATGTCTTAAGACTGTATTAAATACTTATAAATTCCTTTAGAAACATCGGTGTGTAGAAGCGCGTGGTCATTCTTGGCACAGAAATAGTGGTAGGTCTTTGCACACTGTTTTCTATCACATCCCACAGTGGCTCCTCTTTCTTTACAAACTGTGCATTTCTACAGAAGAACAGATCTTGCTTTTAGTATCTTTGTTAAATCTTATTCAAATTGTTATTATATTATATTTAAGTCAGCAGCCCTACCTTTTTATCATGGATCTCATTAGTAAAATTATATCCTCAGCTACAAACATTACTGACATTTAGTTACTCATTCTGAAATTTCAGTAAAACCAATGATCTAGAAGACTTTGTGTGAACTGTTATAGAAGGAGCTGATTAAAAAGCAAAACAGACAAACAAAAACCGAAGAACTTAAAAAAAAAAAAAAAGTTATCAAAATGACCAAGCTCCAGGCCAAAGGTCCTGCAAGAGCAGCTCTAATCCAAGTAGGAAGCGACCACTGAGAGAGAAAAGGCTGAGTCCAAGCAGGTGCGAAAGCCACAGGGCCACTGAGGGGCTGAGTGCAGGTTCAGAGCAAGAATGGAGGAGGGCTTTGAGCTTTCATAGAAACTCAGAGTAAATGGTGACTGTGTAGGTTGCAACATGTGGAAGAGGAGGATTCAAAGCAAGATGTGTCAGGGTAACCAAGGCAGGACACATGTGTCCAAAGATCAGGAAGGCTTTAGTAAAGTGTACTATTGTTGTTGTTAAGTGCCATTGAGTCGATTCCAACTCATAGCAACCCTTTATAGGGATTCTGAGGCTTTTTGAATCTTTATAGGAGCAGAAAGCCTCATGTGGAGCAACTAGTGGGTTAAAACCGCAGACCTTGTGGTCCGAAGTCCAGTGTGTATTGTATGGAGCCACTGCACTCCCAATGTGTGTATTAATTGATCTAAAAATATAAACATTTTCAGTCTAGTCTAAGGTTCTTCTTTTTTCCACTTTCTGAGATGCTTCTCTATCCCTGGTGTATCAAACAGATATCCTTTCAAAGGCAACCCCCAGGACCTGCTTAACCTGCTGAGTACTGAAATCACATACTTACCAACTTCCTTCCTCTTTGGATTTCTTTCTTTACTGATTCTACATCAAAATTTCTATCCGTATTTGGTGAATCTTGATCCTCACATTCCACAAGTGCTGAGGAATACAGCTGTAGATTAAAAACATGAAAATCTAGATTATGCACAAAGTAATGTTAAAAGCATCAAGTAAGAAAATAGTGCCAACAAGTACTCACCAAGATACCAGGATGGGTTGGGAAGAACAGTGACCACCTCTTGCTGCCTATGAGTGGGCCACTCTCCATCCCTCTTCTTTGGAAGCACAATGGAACAAAATGCTTCCAGCTCAGATCTGTGCTATCTCCAAGTCAGCTGTGGATCTCAGCACGGTGGTCCACAGGATTTTCAGTGGCTGATTTTTGGAATATATATTACCAGGTCTTTCTTCCTAGTCCATCTTAATCTGGAAGCTTCACTGAAACCTGTTCAGCCTCATAGCAGCACACAGGTACATCAGCCAGGAATCAAAGCAGGATCTTCTAGACATAACGTAATGATACTCCCACTGAGCCACCGTGGCCCCCTTTCCTTCCCTATCCTGTTGCTGTTGTGTGCTATCAAGTCAATTCCAACTCATAGTGATTCTATATGTCAGATGAGAACTGACCCATACAGTTTCCCAGGTGTGATATTTACAGGAGCAGATCACCAGGTCTTTGGTGGGTTCGAACCACCAACCTTTTGGTTATCAGCCAAACACTTAACCACTGTGCCATCAGGGCTCTTTTCCCCTATCCTGTTGTTGTTAACAGCCATCAACTCAGTTCCAACTCATAGCAACCCTGTATAGGGTTTCCAAGGAGTGGCTGGTGGGTTTGAACTGCTGACCTTGTGGTTAGCAGTATAGTGTTAATTATACAGTTCCACACCAGGTTCCAGCAGTGTGGAATACGCTCATGGTCAGTGACACAGAGCAAGCAAGTCTTCAAAGAGAGAAAAACAGAAACCAAGCCGATAGAGGAAACACGTGGGGCCCAGCAACATTCCAGCTCCCTTTGCCCTGCCTGCATGTCTGGCTTTGGGAACCTGTAAATACCTCAGCAGCCTGGTAACAAACACCCCTTTTTTGTTTAGGTTGGTCCAAGTCTCTATGTGCTGCTTGAAACCAAAAGAATCTAACTGATCTCTGATTGGAAAATCAATAGTACACATACACTCAGACCACAAAGGGCATAAAACAAAAAAAAACCCCACAAAAAATATAAAAGTTTTGTTCATTTACACAGGCAAAAATTTCCTATAAAAAGGAAAAAACAACAACTAAGGATTTCATTACAATTAAATTTGTTTTGCTCTTTGAAAGACATTGCTAAGAAAACAAAAAGGCAAGCCAGGGACTGGGAAGAAAAAATATTTGCCATACAGATGTCTAACAAAGGAGTCCTGGTGTGGCACTGCAGGATAAGCACTGGACAGCAAGGTTGATTTGAACCACAAGGTCGGCGGTTCAAACTCACCAGCTGCTCCTCGGAAACCCTATACAAGGTTGCTATGAGTTGAAACCAACTCAATGACATTTAACAACAACAACATATCTAACAAAAGACCTGTATCTAGAATATGAAAAACGTCTTATAACTCAATATGACAAATCCATTTTAAATGGTCAAAATAGAATTCATGTTCCAAGTGGAATATATGGTATGAACTAGAAGCAACGGTTTGATGTGGGATCAGTAAATAAGTTAAAAACGGGGGGGCAAGATATATGAACAGACATGATTTACAACTGGCAAATAAATACACATAAAGATACTCAACATCATTAGTCCATAAAGAGAGACCATGAGATACCACTTTCCTGACCAATAATTATAAAAGACTGGAAGTACTACATGTTGATAGGATGTGGAACCAATGGAAATCTTATCACATTGCTGGTAGAAATGTAAAATGGCATAATCACTTTTAAAAATGGAATTAAAGGATAATGAATATTTTTTTTTATACAAATTTTAAAGCCTCTTTGTATGCAAGGATTGCTAAGAGACAGGTAGCATTATTATTTCCAAGTCAGACACGAACCAACTGAGGCACAGAGAGATTAAATATTTTTTCCAAGGCCACTTGACTAGTCATTGACTGAGTTTGGACTCAGGCAGTCTGGTTCCAGAGCCTCTTGCTTAATTAACCATTGTGCTAACAATACAATATAAGCATGAATCTGGTTCTAGCTCTCCTCAGTCACTCTGTTCCTGAGCCAGCACAACACAGTCTCAATTACTATAGCTTATAATAAGCGTTGGCCATATTTTGGTGCTTTATATTTTGAGATTAGTTTGTTGTTTCATTAAAATTCCCATTGGAATTTTGACTGGATTGTACTAAATTTACAGATAAATTGGAGAAAAGTGTATATTACAATATGTGAATCTTTCCATTCATAAACAGGGTCTACCTCGCCACTGACTCATGGCTTCTTTATGAGTTTCAAATATGCCCAATATTTTTTCTGTAGAGGTCTACAAGTTTAGGTTAGACTTATTCCTGGGTTTGTTATTTTTTATAAAACCTTCTAAAAGTACTATTGGTATACACAAACACTTGATTTTTTTCCCCTAAATTTTATTTTGTTGTTATTGTTGAGAATATGCAAAGCAAAACATATGCCAATTTGCAAACATATACCAATTTAACACTGGACTGCAAACCACAAGGTTGTTGGTTGAAACCCACGAGCTGCTCCTCAGAAACCCTATACAGGGTCGCTATGAGTCAGAATCAACTCGATGCTACTTAACAACAACAACATGTACAATTTAATGACATTGATTACATTCTTTCACAGGTGTGCAACCATTCTCATCTGCCTTTTCTGAGTTGTTCCTCCCTCATTAATGTAAACTCAATGACCCCTAATGTTCCTGTCTAATTTCTCAAGTCGCTGATGTCACATTGGTCCCATTAGATAGTTCTTAAAGAGGCATAATGCTCAAGCAGACCTTTTTTTATATACAATTAATTAAGCTACACTTTAATTTTAAGACAGCTTCAGGAGACTTTGGTTTAAGGTTTAAAGACTATTGCAGAGCAATAGTTTCAAGGGTCCATCTACCCTCTATGATGCCAGACTGATTTCTTTTAAAAAAATTTTTATTGGATTTGTGATGAAAGTTTACATAATAGCAAATTTTATACTCAATTTTCTATTTTTTATCATTAAAACTTTGACACTTAATAATATAAAAAAATAAAGGTAAAAATTAAATGTAAACAAGTTCACTAAAGCTTGATTTCTTATTTGGAGGTATATTTGTCTGACCCAGTAGTTCTTAAAGACTTCTATCCTCTATTGATAAAACATCTTCAAAAAGCCTTTTCTACAAGTCCAGAGTACCTAATCACTATGCTTCTTTGAAAAGATGAGGCAGTGGGACCAGATAGGTGTTGTGGAGTACTAATCAGAGAAATGCAGCATTTTAAGGACCCACTTAAAACATGAATTAAGATATCTGGTCTAAACACTATAGTAAAAGATGCCTGTGAAAAGCGTAACTAGTAATAATGTTACACTCAATAAATTAACAGTATTTCATTAAATATGTTTTTATTTCTTATAGTCTCTTCTTAGGAAGTAATCAATATTTACAACTAATAAAAACAATATAGTATGATATTTACAAGTAATTAACTATATGTGGTGGATGTATGAAAATACAAGATAATTGATCAGCACCAAATCTGTGATGGTGGTTACCTCTGGGGAGGGAGGAGAAGCAAGCAATGGGGTGACTTGGGGGTCCCCTTAACTATGATGCTTTAGTTAAAAAAAAAAATCAAACAAAAGTTAAGATGCTTGACTGTCTCATGCCTACTACTGTAAAATAGACACTTGACAGCTATAGAAAGGAATATTGGGAAACATGATTACAGAAAGCTTGTAAACCCATCTTCAGCCTATAACTGATTAGAATACCTAACAGGGGTTCTAGAACTTGCCTAGTGAAACAGGTTTCTTGCAGAGTCTTTGTAGTGTATAGGACCTTAGGCGGACTCCTGAGCCCCATCCAGAACCTTCTGAAGTGGGCCATTCCCACTTGAAAGGACATGCAGACCAGCCTGAAACAGCCAGAGGAACAGAAGATACTTCCTGAAAGAAAAGACCAGCAGGAAAAAGCAAAAACAAAAACGGCAGTCTGTTTGGCTATTACAAGAATGAGCAAGCTGTTTTCCAGGGAGCCATCAAAGCAAGCAATCGAGTCCCTTCAGGACAAATCCCCCCCCAACACTGAAACTCAAAGGGAACACACGAGCAGGCTCATAACCTCGCTGGTGACTATGTTAGTCTACCTGTGAGTGGAAGTGGGAGAAAGTCAGTAATCAAGATATGGGCTGAGTTCGACCATGTTCCATAGTCTCCTGTCAACCTTGAGATGAAAGAGGGAGAGGAGGAAGGGCTGGTTGGTACAAAGTTTGGGTAGACTTGAGAACTCATGAGCCCATGGACACTGACCTAGCCACAGAGGACTACAGCTGAGAGTGAAATATCCAGCTGATATAAAGTGAAGGGAGATGCATAAGAATGCCCCAACTCACAGATCATACCCATTTAACCTAGTATGATGGCTTGATAACAAGAGCTCAACTAAAGGAAGATTAAGAAACATTGTAAAGGAAGAAAGTATAAATTACTACAATTTGATGAACTTGACATATACTTATAGATGTAGTAGCTCAAAATACCAACTGAGAGGCATGGAGTCTTCACATCAAGGATCAAGACTATCCCCTCGGTACACAGGGTTGACAGGGACGGGCAGCTTAAGACATTGGCTACCTAAAATGGGGGTGCTATAAAGGCATGAAATGACTGGCTTACAAATTTTCAAGAGGGAGGTTAGTTTCAGAGCGTGTGGGGGCGGGGGAGGTAGAATCCCAACTGAATAATTTTCATCTTGTCTAGATGGGTCTGGTGAAAGGAGACAGGGATAGGATTCTTTTGATTCAATAGTATTTGTTATCATGACTAATTGCAATTGTCACAACTGTAAAAGTAGAAGTTTTGTAATATGAAGGGGCTAGTAGTTAATTCAACATTCTAGGAAGAGAGGACCCTAGAACCATCAAGAGAGAAGAGCATGAACGGAATGTGGGACCCTCACTAGAGAAGCAGCCACACCAGAGACAGAGGCAGAGGTGATGGCATGGCGAGAGGGAGCGGCTGAGGACTTTAGACTCATGGCAAGAGAAAGGCTGTGTGCTGGTGGCCAGGAGGTTGACTTGCAGAATGTGCACTTTGGTTGTTTAAATGATTATATATTCCTGAGTGTTTTCGTGTACATCAAAAAATAAATAAGTAAAAAGGGGAATAGAAGCAAATACTGTTGCATGATGATGCACAAAGGGGATTAGAATCATTGTAATGAAAGAAAATATGATATGGTGAGTGCAAAACTCGTATTCTCCTATATAGACTATCACTTAATTCACAATAAAAGCTTTAAAAAAAAAATCAAACCAAAACAAGTATCACATAATGTTATGATTTTATAAATGTAGGTGGGAAGGTACACAGGTATCTGTTAGACTTGAAATATTAAAATATCTTTAAAGAAGCTGTTTCTTCTTTTTTTTAAACTTTGACCCCTATATGGAGTCCTGGTACGTTGCTGCAGGTTAATGTGCTGGATTGCAAGGTTGGTTTGAACCACAAAGTCAACAGTTCAAGCTCACCAGCCGCTCCTCGGAAATCCTATACAGGGTCGCTATGAGTCAAAACTGACTCGACACTTAGCAACAACAAGCCCCCTATATGCTCTACCAGGTTCATGGATGTATTTGTAGAATAGATAAATACACATGTAGAAATATCCTCTGTCAAACTATATATATCTGCGTGGGCATACTTGCACTCTCCCTCCTACGTGTCTATCCATGCCTCAACTCGTCCATTACTGCTATTGTAGAACTGTGTCAATAACACTCCTTCATTCTGTGGCCATTCACTCTTGCATTCCTCCCAGTGCCTTCCCCTGCCACCATCATTTCTGGCTGACTTCCCTCTTATTGTATATTGTCTTTCCCTACATCAAAGTTAACATGTGTTTATCTGCTGTGGGTTAATGCACTGGACTGCAAAGTTGTTTGAACTGCAAGGTCGGCAGTTCAAGCTCACCTGCCACTTCTTGGAAATCCTATACAGGGTCGCCATGGGTCGGAACTGACTTGAAGGCTCTTAACAACAACAACCCTCTAGTTAGTAATTTACTAAAGAAGCTTCTTCACTACAATTTTTTTTCTTTGTGTTTGACTAGTTTCAAATAAAATATGAAGCATAAAAATATCAAAATACTGTAATAGCAAATGTTTTGTTTTACATGTAATAACCACACACACACAAAGTAATCATAACATGGTAAGATTAGACACATTAAAAAAATTTTTTTGAAGAAAAAATGCTCACTAAATCCTGGTGTGGCACTGTGGAATAAGCACTGGACTGAAAGGATGGACTGAACTGCAAAGTCAGTGGCTCAAATTCACCAGCCACTCCTCAAAAACCCTACACAGGGTTGTTATGAGTTGGAACTGACTCAATGGCACTTACCAACAATCTCTAAAAGTACTGATGTGTTTTTAATTAACTTACCAAACAATTTTCATGGGCAGTAATATTCTCTGCTTGTGCAAAGTACAGTATACCATAATCACGGCCTTTGGGACAGAATGCACATGTCCTTTTTTCCAACTTTACTGAAACAAGAGAAGACACCAATAAGTAACATCACAATGAGAACAGGGAAAATGGAAACACTTTATCTTAAAGAAGAATTCAGGGAGCTTGTCTTATTAGAAAGCCTCAATTCCCAAGGAACAAAAACAAATTAGAACCCAAGTAAAAAGAAACATGTTGGTGGTTTTTTAAAAAAATGGGTTAATGAAAGACAATTTTTTAAAAAAAAAAAAAAAAAATTTTTTAATAAAAAGAAACATGTTGGTGGTTTTTTAAAAAAATGGGTTAATGAAAGACAATTTTTTAAAAAAAATCAATGAATCCATTTTAAAATGACTAAAAGTAAAGAAAATCTTTAAGAAATACAACCAGGAATTTAAACACAGGCAAACTGATTACAGGTGGACGTTTTTTTTTCTGGATTCTCAATTCTGTTCCATTAATCTATTTGTCTTTCATTGTCCCAGTCCCAGCTTGTTTTGACAACTGTGGCTATATAATAAGTTTTGAGATAAGGAAGTAAGAATTCTACTTTGTTCACCTTTTTAATAGTGCTTTGTTTAACCGCGTGTATTTTAAATACCAGTAGGGTCCCCCATGGTGGACAGGTTTCAGATGAGCTTCCAGATGAAGACAGACTAGGAAGAAGGAGAGATGATCTACTTCCGAATGTTTAGTCACTGAAAACTTTATGAATAGCAGAGAAACACTGTCAGATATAGTGCCAGAAAATAAGCCCCTCACGTTGGAAGACACTCAAAATGCAACTGGAGAAGACCTGCCTCCTCAAAGTAGAGTTGACCATGATTACGTGAACGGAGTAAAGCCCTTGGGACCTTCATTTGCAGATAGGGTACAACTCAAAATGAAGATTAACAGCTGTAAACATCAATTAATAATTGGAACATGGAACGTATAAAGTATGAATCTAGGAAAATTGGAAATTGTAAAATGAAATGGAATTCATAAACATCGATATCCTAGGCATTGTTGTTGTTATGTGCCGTGGAGTCGGTTCCGACTCATAGCGACCCTGTACAGGGTTTCC